TAGAGAAGAAATAAATACTCCATATGATTTTTAAAAATAAAAATGGCCAGACAAAGAGATATGTTGGTAGTAGAGATGAGAAAAACACTTAAGAAAATTTAGAAAGGTAATAATCGCTGATGAGAGAGGAGAGAAGAAGACGATAGCTCAAAATCAGATCAAAGAGTGCCTTCCAAAACAAGTAAACCTTTCTTATCCGGCTGATAGTACGATGGAAACAAACACGGCGATGTATGGCCGGACAACAAACTCTTTCTTCTCCGTTCAAAGCAGATCGGCAACGTTCGAAGGCAGTTCTTCAACAACCACGTTGTAGAACTTCTGAATATCAAACAGCATTCTCTCATCATCACGGGTCACGAAATTGATCGCCACACCTTTCCTCCCGAACCTTCCACTTCTTCCGATACGGTGAAGGTAATTCTCTGGCTGAGTGGGGAGATCGTAGTTGATAACCAGAGAGACTTGCTGGACATCGATACCACGAGCCAAGAGGTCAGTGGTGATGAGCACACGGGATGAGCCAGACCTGAACTCTCTCATGATGATGTCTCTTGTGTTCTGGTCCATGTCTCCGTGAGTTGCTGAGACTGTGTGGTCACGGCCTCTCATTTTGTCTGTCAGCCAGTCGACCTTTCGCCTAGTGTTCACAAAGATGACACTCTGAGTGATGGCTAGAGTCTCGTAGAGATCGCAGAGTGTCTCGAGCTTCCACTCTTCCTTCTCGACATTGACATAGAACTGCTTGATACCTTCGAGGGTGAGCTCGTCACGCTTCACCAAGATTCTTACTGGCTTGCTCATGAACTTCCTTGTGATCTCAAGAGCCTCCGGTGGCATTGTTGCAGAGAACACACCCACTTGGATCTTAGGTGGGAGAAGCTGGAAGATGTCATAGATCTGAGAAATTAAAGACAGTATATACCAAGTCAGAACAGAACTCAAAAATAACAAGAACAGATTTATTAACGCTTGGAAATATAGACAAACCTGGTCCTTGAAACCACGGGAGAGCATTTCATCAGCTTCATCAAGAACAAACATCTTGATGTGGTCAGCACGGAGAGATTGCCTCTTCAACATGTCAAAGACACGGCCTGGAGTTCCAACAACAACGTGGACACCAGCTTGGAGGATACGCTGATCCTCACGGACACTTGTTCCACCAACACAGGCATGAACCTTGACACCAACGTAATCACCAAGAGCCCTCATGACTTTCTCGATTTGCTGAGCAAGCTCTCTGGTTGGAGCTAAAACCAAAGCCTGACACTGGACAAGGCTGATGTCTAGCTGCTGCAAGACGCCAGAGCAGAAAGTTGCGGTTTTCCCAGTACCGGACTGAGCCTGTTGGATCACATCGAGACCCTTGCAGAAGGGAACGATCCCTCTTTGCTGAATAGCAGAAGGCTTCTCAAAACCTACAAAGTACAGTCAACAGAATCCACGCATGAGTCGAGAATCAAAAGAGACAAAAAGAAAGAAAGACAGTTTATTAGGTTCTACTACTACACATACCATAAGCATAAATACCCCTGAGAAGGTTCTCTTGCAGACCCATAGCGTCAAAGCTCTCGTGAACCTCATCATAAGAGGTGAAGAACTCATCTTGTCCCTCAAGTCTGTATCCATACAATACAGTCAGCAACTAAACCATAACTCAAGAAAGAAAAAAAAAGTTATGAAAATAGAACTAAAAGACTCACACTTCATTCAACTTTTGGTCGAACTGACGTGCATCAAACTGGGTGCCTTCTGGTGCAGATCCTGCCATGACTACACACACACAGAGCAACAACAATAAGTAACAATAGAATCCAATGATCAAGACAACAACTATTCGATATCGCAGAAGAAGGAATGTGACAGAATAGCCAAACTCGAAGTCCATAGGAAACCAAGCATTAATATCTGTATCCGAATGATGTTCGGAGAAAATGTTTTTTAAAGGCATAAATGGTTATCCAACAATATTATAGACACCACTCTCAACACCTATTTCTCCAAAGTAAAGACTTTTTAAGTCAGACAAAACACACACAGAGAGTCTCGTAATAAAAACCGTCAAAAGTC